GAGAAATGGCCATTCTAAGTAGAAAATGATACGAATCCTTGGAAATTTAGAAGAATAATCCATGGAAACATCACAAGTAAAAGATAATGATAGAAGTAGACCGAGATCTACCCGTGTCTGCAGTGGAAGCTGTCCACTCACCAAGGTAACAAAATGGTTCTGAAGTTCTTGTGTTCTCTGGGTGCACACAGAGACCAGAAGGTTCTACTGGATCCATGAGAATCCTCAGGCTGAGATCCTGGATGGGAGGAGCCTTCCACCTGCAGGGAATAACTAATTATCTTTCAGTTGCTAATATCAGCTCAATTTGTATGACCTCGACCATCGAAGGTTGAATCCTAAGGACATTGTGATGGATCAAGGAGCACCAGCCTTAGGGAATCATTTAGGTCAGGAGGGTGCAGTCTCATGACAGGATTACTGCCCTTATACCACAGGACTGGGAAAGCTCCCTGCACCGTGACCCCATGTGAGGTGACAGGGAAAGAACACACTAGGATATGGGGGCCCTCCAGACACCAAATCTGTCTGCACCTTGACCTGGACTTCCCACAATCCAGAACTGTGAGAAATGAGTGTCTGTTGTTTAAAACCACCCAGTCCTTCTACATTGTTACAGCAGCTGGAACAGACTGAGACATGAAGGACACATGAACCCAAGCACTGATGCTCTGGCATTTCCCTGCTGCATTTGTTGGGAAAAGTACCTGATAAATTCCTTCAGTGAGGTTCAAGGGTGGATTTCTCACATGTTCTCTCCTGCAGATAGGACTAACCAGTTGACTATCCTAGGACTATGTGAGAAGATACAGTGGACACACAGAGGGAGAAACTTGGTACAAGGGAGTCAGGGTTTCCTAGAGTATGTGGAACTTTAATTTAAGGATGCTGTTTTTTGAATCTTCCAGAAGATGTGGATGTGATCACCATGTGAGATTTGAGTCTGATCATCACCTTACAGAGTTGTGTTGTACTGAAAGCCCTGGGGTTAAGCACCTTTGTTCCCTTGCATCTTTCAGGATTCTTTCCTTGTCTTTGATATATTTTGTGAGTTTGACTACAAAATGCCTTGGAGATAGTCAGCTTTTGTTGAATTTAATAGGAGTTCTATGTACTACTTGGATTTTGACGTCTGTGTCCTTCTGCATATTAGAGAACCCTTTGGCTATTATTGTATGGAATAAAGCTAATCCCCCTTTTTATCTCTCTTCATCTTCTGTAACTCTTATTATACAAATGTTATCATGTTTTAATAAGTCACTGAATTCCCTAAGTCTACCTTCATGGCCCACTACCTTGGTTTCCCTCTTCTTTTCACTCATTTTCTATAATTTTATCTTGTATACCACAGATTCGCTCCTCTCCTTCATCCATCCTCATTTTATATGGCCTCCACTTGGGATTGCATCTTGGATTTAATTGTTTGTGGGTTTTTGTTGTTGTTGTTTTAATTGGGCCTGATTCAATTTTAGTTCATTTATCACTGCAGTAAGGGATTCTCTGGTGTCTTCTATCCTTTTTTCAAGCCCACTTTGTATCCTAAAAGCATTGCTTTAAGTTCTAGTTCAGACATGATACTTATATTTCTATCGATTAAAAGCCTGGCCATAAGATTTACATCCTATTCATTCCTCTGGGGTAAACTTTTCCATACTTTCATTTTTATTTCAGAAAATAAAAAAAGAAAGGGGTAAAAAAATCAAGAAGTGAAGATCCTGGGTTTGTTTTGGTCTGCTTCTAAAAAAGAATAAAGGTCACAAAATAAATTAAAAAAATATAAAATAAAATAAAGTAAAAATAGAAGAAATAAATATATATTTAGAAAAAAATAAGAAAAATTAACAATAAAAATCAAGAAAGAAGAATTGGAAAATAAATCAAAAAATAAAAAATAAAAAAATGTAAGAATAAAAGTAGAAAGAAAGCAAGATCCTACTTCCCCTAGAGCTGAAACTTCATAGCTCCCAATGATCATTAGACTTGGTGAGATGGCATAGATTCTGCTGATCTCAGGGAGGTGCCTGTTGTGATTATTCTCAGGGATTTTGGCCTAGTGGAAATGCACATCTTGGGAGCAGGGTGCAGGTCTTGATGTAACTGGCTCTGACTTCCAATAGGTAGAGCTGTTTTGCACTGATGGGTGGGTTAAATATGGCATCTGCTCTCTAAAGTGTTGAAAGTTCGCACCCTGCACTCTTCATTGAGCCTTCACAGAAGAGCAATCAACCCTTTTCTGTGCCCGGTTTCCATCAGAACCCTGTGTTCACCCTGCTTGTGTGGGAGCTTCTCTATCTCAGGCACATGACTGGGTTTCAATGCTTCAAAATTAGGGACTCCCACGGGGTGGACCCATGCTATTCTCCAAGGGAGGGTCTCATAGCCTTTTTGCCTTTTGCCTGCAGGTCTCAGGGAAGAGGTCCCATGGCCACACAGTGGTTCACCGTTTATGGAAAAGCAGAACAGAAAGCCTGCACTTAGACTCACTGTTTGACCAGGTTTCAGGCTCCTATGCCTAGTAACTGCACATCAAATTGGTGCCAAACATTCTTCTTATGACTCAGGGTTGCCTCGGACCCTGTATTTCTGTCTCACTTTACCACTTCAGCACCTTTATTCCAGGCACATCCCCACAGTAGCGGACTTCTAAAAGTTCAGGTTTTGCTCTCTGCTGCTATAATACATTGTCGGTAGCTGCAGGAGGCACACTCTTTCCCTGCTGTCATCCCCACACTTGTATCACCCCCAAGACAAATCTGCACACCTCCTGCATTCCAAAAGGTGGTTGATTTTCTCTTTGTAGACTCGCAGTTTTTGTTCTCTCAGACCTCTGACTGATTTCTTGGTTGCTCAGAATGACTTGATAACTACCAATTGTGTTCTATGGTTGAGACAAGGGTAGGGACCCTTACTCCTCCACCATCACACTTCCTCCCTCGCTCGTTTATTTATAGCAAAGAGGGTGTGATAAATTCCTTCTGCTGTATATGCTGAAGCCCAAACTTGAAATCTGGTGTTGTATTTCAGAATACCCTAACTTATTTCCTTCTCTACCCTGATGCAGTGGTCCTATGATTCAATTGCTGTTTGAGTGTGCAATCCCATTAAGTATTATGCAATTATTATATTATTTTGCAGTAAGTAATGATTCACATATGTGGTCCATGTACATAACCTGACTCAGTGAGTGGCATACAGAAGAATGCACCTCCCAGCAGTGAGCCCGGGGCTTTGAACAGGATATGATGTGTGCTCCTACAGGACAAGAATTGCAGGAACATTATTAGCACCACACCATGTCTCTCTACAGGGGAAGAAGGTGCATTTTGGATGGTATGGCAAGTTGGCAGTCTTCCTGATGCATGCCATTCACGGATGGAAAGTGAGGGATCTGGAGACAGAACAGAAGTCCTGTACTCATCCAGCATGGTCAAAGATTTTCTTCTATTAGACTGAATTTCCTAAAAGTCAAAAGAAGCTGTCAAAAACTTAGAGTGCACAGACAGACTGACTGTGTTGGTTTAGGATGGATATGATATATGAACCTTTTTTAAATGTCCCCACAGCAGAATGCATGGGACCCTAATCCCATCAGTGCCAGTGGGAGTATCTTTGGACAATGGAGTCTATGCATCTCTGAGAGTTTTTTAATTTTACCTTGAGGACGCTATTTTCTCAACCTTGCCAGGAGACTGTGGATGTGACGGCCATGTGTTATTTGAGTCTGAGCCACACCATGCACAGTTGTCCCACCAGACAGCTGTCAGGTGTTTGTCTCAGCCCCTGGATATGAAAGGTGGTACAACTCAGGATCAAAACCCAAATCAAAGAAACTTTCCATCAGCTAAAAGAGATGGAGGCTTTGGTTCAGGAATGACTTCACAACATGGGAAAGGATACATTCAAGAAATAAAACACATGCACATGCCATGGAAGGTGGACATGGGATAAAGTCCATTTACCTCTGTCCCATGGACCCCTGAAGACTGGTTTCTCTCAATGTCCCACCTCCCAGTGTCCCCAGGACTATGCTACTGATGGTGACACATGAGCAGGATATATTCTGACTCTCTTTGTGAGCTTTCCTCCCAAGTACTGACTCAAGGCTGTAACCAATTTGTCTCTACCCTGAACTGTGATATAATAGAA